GAGTATCCCTTGGGTGTTGAGCTACTCCAGAGGCACTTTGTGTAACCGTATCCCTGCTCGTAAAGCAGACTACATGCACGTGAGCTGTGTTATATACGTAGTGATTTCATATGATTTGCAGAGAGAGACCGGAACAGGTGTTCTGATATGGTGCGTTACATGCGGTTGGATGTAGTTAAACCTTGCCCTAGTAGTTGTGTTCTCGCATCGTTATTACCTGGGCTGGGTGTCATGTACCGAGGCGGAGGAACTATTGCCAATAATTGAGGAAGTGATGTTTTGGATACTCTTCGTGATATTTCGGAGTATTCATCGCCTGTGTGCGAGGAGTTCGATGGACTCCGTAAGGTAACATCTGAGAAATATGTTGAGGCATTATCGGTGGTTTGCCAGTGCTTTGTAAGTAGCAGGCGTGTTCGAAGGTAGGAGAGGACAGCGGATTGACGATGCAGGGAAAGTAGAAAGTAGGGAAGAAGAAACGGAGTCGGAGTCATCGGTGAATGGAGTGGGCTATATGTAATAAAGGATTGATTATTTGTTGTTCTAATGAAGTCTGGCTACATCGTGGTTTCTATCAAAGCGGAATAGGTTGCTTTTCTTGGTGTGAGAAGCATCCTATTATGTGTTGGTATGTCGTGTTGTGAGTCGTAGGCGAATGGCTGTACACGAGAGAAGGAGACTTCGGTAGGGAGCTTCGTGTTGTAAAGCCTGCTGGTGTTTCAGTCGATCTGTGACTGTGACGAGTACAGATGCTGGCTCATAGTCATTTCAGCAGTTAATGATGCGGTTCCACATCTCAAGTCGAATATGGAGCAACACAAGAACAGAACAAGCTTTGTTGCTGACTGTAAACGTAAATTTTGAAGAAGCTGATGGTCACCACCAGTAGCATCAACAACCGACAATTCATAGTCTCAACTTTTAGTGATGCTTTCACGTTTACAGGTAGTGGTAGTTTTTTCTTGCAATGGATCGTTTGAATGATACATAGTTCATCCGTGCCTGAAGCGTACCGAATACTTATGTATAAGTCCCGTACATGGTCAGTATTGGCAATAGTAAATTTCATTCCAGTCCTGCCGAGGGCACCAGCCGTTACTACTCGCTTCTGATCCATGGAATTAGGGATGAAGTATACCCAGTAAAACGTTGGTAGCACG